GCTAGAATATCAACAAAAGCTGATTTGTGTTACTATTCAAGATGATCAACTGTCAGACATTTTAACAAAAATCATCACTTTCTTGTTTTTTTTGCTCGGGTCTGCATGTATCTCAAATACATTGTATAAGTTGCCAAAGTGGGTCAAAACTTCATGCACAGAAAATTATGTTCTAGCACATCAATGAAAGTCACAATCCAATTCCAGATGGTTGTCTGGTAGCCATTTTGTTGGACGAAAATTAACAATTTTCATCTTTTTTTTGCACATTTCTGCTCATATTTCATATTTTAATCTGTCCAATTAGGTCAGAATTTGGATCACAGATGATTATGTTTTAGTATATAAACGGCTGATTTGTGTCACAATACAATCCAAGATAGTTCACTGTCAGCCACAGACCGTATCACAATTCCAAATTATAGTGTAGGATAGTTATGACCGAGTCAAACACAATTCCGCCAAACATAAAGCATGTCAACTCCTGCAATCTGGCATAACTATCCCACAATGCACTATATGGAATAGCAATGTACTGTAAAATGACTAATTTTTACTGGGTTTAAATTTCGCTGATTTACCATTTCAGGCATATTCAATGGGTTTTAAATTCACAGTTTTATCATTTAGATAATGTGTTCTATTTCTAAATTTTACATATTTACTGGGTTTTAATTTAGCTCATTTTCCAGTAAGCGAAATGAGCAAAATTAAAACCCCTGTGAATAATTAACTCTTTTACAATATATGTTTTAACAACATGGACATTAGAGATATTAAATTGTCTGCCAGTCCAAGTCATATATATATTATATATTTATATACACAGTTATAGTTAGCACTTGATCTAAACGAAGCATATAAATATACAGCAATTTACAGCTGATAGTCTTTATAGAAAATGGTGGCATATAAATACTGACATTTTATTTGTCATATAATAATGTACAAGAACAGAAGAGCGCTGTGACATTCTCAAAGGCTTGTTACATGTATGTGTGATATGAACTCTTGTGCTAGGCATATTATCAATGAGAGTGTGTACCATCTGTCTATTTGTGGATGTAGCCCTATCATTCCTTGTGGTAGATTGTAGACTTACTATTAAATATCATAATGTATAATGTTGGATTTCTTTGTAGGATGATGCTATCAAACAGTTAGAGCATCAATTGGAAGCCAACACTAAGTTGGTAGAAGAAGCCCAAAGAAAACTACAAAATAGAGATGAGTATATTAAAGAACTTGAATCTAACATGGCTACTATGAAAGGTTAGTGTTCTTAACCCATATGAACACAGCTGTGAAGCAATTGTAGCTGCAATGCATGCTTGCAGAGGAAATACTGTAAAAACTCAATTAATTCATGATCTCTAATAATTCATAACATTACAAAACAGATTTTTTATGCATAACACTGCAAGAGAATGAAGAATTAAAAAATAAAGCATATTACGAAATTTGTTTTAATGTTTGAATTTAATTTACAATGGCCTTGCTGTGTACTTCTGGAGTGATCCATGGCTGATGACAGCCAAGATTGCAACATATTGTACCAATGATTTCGACAAATTGTGACCTTACAATGGGCACCCGTGAAATTAAGACAGCAGTACTACAAGTTTCAATGTACCTTGTGATTTATTTTGTGATTTAATTAAAAACGGCTGACTGATGGCCATGTTGGTTTTATAGTTATTAGTCCTTAACCATTTTTCCAATGTACGTTGACTGATTTTCACCTTACACATATCAATGTAAAATGGAAATGTCCATCAGTTTCACAATCTGCTTCAAGATGCTCATATACAGCTAATTATAATAATCACTAGTCTTTGAATGGCATCTTTGACCAACTTCTCCAAAATCAAAATTGGTCCTTGCTAAGCCGTTTTGTGTGCTAAAGATCAATCTTGAGTATTACCGCCTTGTACGGTTGCTTTGTGAGTGACCAGATTTGTGAATTTACAATCATTATTTGTTTGCAGTATTGTGTAGCTTTACCATATTTTTGCTAAATCATGGCTGAATGTTCTGTTATCTATTTTTATTCAGGGAAAAATAAATCACTATTTATTAAATTGACCAAAAAATATTTCCCTTTGTATGCATAGTAATTCATGCTTAAAAAATTGTTATTTATTTATTAATGGTTATTACAATTTCTTTCCTATAGAATATACTGATTGTACCAGCACAGAGCTGAAAAACAAGCTAACCACACTGCAAAATGCCTTTGAGGAGGCTCAGACACTTTTGAAAGAGAAGACAGTTGAAGTTGAAACTCTACAAAATAAGCTATCAAGTGTAGACATTAGTGAAGATGCACAAAAGGCTACAGACGAGTTAAAAAATAAGATCTGTAAATTGGAGTTGAACTTGAAAAAAGCGCAAGAAAGCATCAAGGAACATGAGATGGTGTTGCCTAGTTCGGATACAACTGCTATATTTGAGTATCACGAAATCCAAATCAAAGTTGAGCAGCTGGAGGAGAACCTGAAGAACTCTTCAATAAAAGAGAGTAAGTATCAAAGTGAAATTGAGATGATGAAAGCCGAAAAAGAGGAAACCCTTAAAGAGTGGGAGTCCAAAGTAGAATCTTTTCAAGAAGAGATTGAGGCTGCTAACAGCAAGGCTAGAAATTTCGAAGAACAGACAAAAGCATCTGAAGTGGAAGTCGCAAAGCTCATGAAGGATGTGGAAATTTCGGATGGGAAATGTAATGATTTGCAAGAAGAGATATCAATTTTGAACAAAAACTTTATCACAGCTAAAGATTTACATGAACAGACTGTGAAAGAGTGGACAGAAAAGTTTGAGGAATTGGAGAAAAATTTTGAACTAGCTAACAACAAAGCCAGTGAGCTGGAAGAACAGGCTACAAAGTCAGATGATTCAAAGTCAGTTGAAGTTGCTAAGCTGAAAGAAGATAAAAGTAAACTTGAACAGCAAATTTCTCAGTTGAAATTCAAGATTGATGATGATGAGAAGAAGGTTAAGAAGTTAGAATCCACTGTCCATGATTTTGAAACTGCTCTAAGTGACAATGAGAGTTTCCTGGAACAACTAAATAAGGAGGTTAAAGAGCTGAAGAAGAAGTTGGATCATGAGAAGAATGACCTAGAACATGAGAAAAAAGAACATCTGGAAGTTAAAGCTGATGTGAAAGTTCTGCAAAGTCGCATCAACCAGTTAGTAAAGAATGTGAGTGAGATACAAGATGAGAAGGCTCAAAGTGAAGGAAAGGTTGACGAGCTAAGCCATCAACTAAAGAAGCTAGAGGAGGTGAAGGAAGGTCTGCAGTTGAGGACAGAAGAATTGCAGATGGAAGTTGAAGGTTATCAGGAAAAATTGGCACAGAAAGAAAGTGATCTTGCTGGTTCAGTAAACCAGCTTGTTCAGGCAGAGTCTGAAGACTGCGCTATTGAAGATGAACTACAGAAGGTTAAAGATCAGTTTGAAAGTTTGATGAAGACATCTGCTGAAGATCTTGAAGAAATTCAGAAAGAAGTTGTTGCCCGTGCTGAGAAAATTGAGGATATTGAAAGATTGCTTGACGAGGCAACTTTACAAAAAGAAAACTTGCAGGATGATTTAAAAAACACAAAAGAGGAATTGAAGGCATCTCAAGACAGAGTGAGTGTGTGCGAGAGAGAGATCAAGAAGTTAGAACAAGACCTTCATGATGTGCATTCTTCAGAAGAGGTACTTCTTGAGAAAACAAGGAAAATGAATCAACTAGAATGCTCTATTGAGGTGGCTGAATCGCTGGTTTCAGATCTCAAGAAGGAGTTAGCAGAAGTTAAATTAAATCAGACTAGTTCAGAAGAAAAAGTGACCAAATATGAAGCTGAAATTACAGATTTGCAAAAACAAGTGAAAAATTTAGAAAACGTGATTAAAGATGAAGAAATAAAAAAGAATGATCTGAAGAACAGTCTGGAGTCAACTGAAACTAAAGCCAAGAAAATGGAAAATGCGTCCGTAGAGAAAGAGGAGAAATTGGAAAGGTTGGAGAATGAACTGGAACAGCTTAAAAAACGAGAAGCAGCCCTGCTGTCTGAAAGTGAACACCTTAAAGATGAAGAAAAGGAACTACAACAGTTAAAGATTAAGGATTCTGAATTGAAAAGAGAAGTGAAGATATTGACTAAAAATCTGAAGAAGGCTGAGGAGAAGGCCAGTGCTTTGGAACATGAGGTCAAACAGTTGCAGGAACAGGTGAAACAAGTTGAATCTCAAGTGGAAGAGACAAAGAAAAGTGCTGAAAAACAACAGAAAGATTTCAAGATGAATTCAGAAGAAAGGGGCATCAAATATGAAGCTGAAATTACAGATCTGCAAAAACAATTGAAAGATTTAGAAAACATGATTAAAGATGAAGAAATAAAGAAGAATGATCTGAAAAACAGTCTGGAGTCAACTGAAGCTAAAGCCAAGAGAATGGAAGATGCGTCCATAGAGAAAGAGGAGAAATTGGAAAGGTTTGAAAATGAACTGGAACAGCTTAAAAAACGAGAAGCAGCCCTGCTGTCTGAAAGTGAACACCTTAAAGATGAAGAAAAGGAACTAAAACAGTTAAAGATTAAGGATTCTGAATTGAAGAGAGAAGTGAAGATATTGACTAAAAATTTGAAGAAGGCTGAGGAGAAGGCCAGTGCTTTGGAACATGAGGTCAAACAGTTGCAGGGACAGGTGAAACAAGTTGAATCTCAAGTGGAAGAGGCAAAGAAAAGTGCTGAGAAAGAACAGAAGGATTTCAAGATGAGAGAGTCTCAGTACAAGAAGGATTTAAAATCTTCTAAAGAAAAGATAGTGAAGTTTGAAGAAGGTATGGAGTCCAGGAAAAACAGTTGCCTGGTGCTAGAAAAGGAGATTGAGAACTTGAAAGAGCTAGAGTTGAAAATTAAAACTGAACTTGCCGTTGTGAAAAAAGAAAAGGATACAGCCGAGGCTAAGGTGCAGCAGATGAAGGAACAAGTAGAGGAAAGTGATAGAGATTATGAAAAGAAGTGCGAGAACAATCTGTTGAAAATGAAAGATTTGGAGCAAAGATTGGCTGTTGTAACGGAAGAAGTGTGTTGTTTGAAGAGTACTTTGGAGCAACGTGAGGAATCCAATATTCAGCTGAAAGCTGAACTTGAAGAGAAAAACCATAAACTTGAATGTCTGACATTGCAGACAGAAGGGGCCACAACTGAGTTTGATCAACTGTCTAACAAGTGTGCAGTGATGGAGACTCAACTTACAGCCTTACAAGAGAAGCTGGCTGCAACATCTGAAGAAAAGTTGAAAATGAAAAAGGACTTGGATGATACGAGTCAGAAGTTTGCTCAAGAAAATATAGTTAAGGATGGTCGGATCAACCAATTAGAAAAGGTATTTAAACAGTATATTTATGGCTCACTTTTGTTTTAATTAATTTATTTCCTTCAATCATTGCTCATATAACTGTGCTTGTAGATGTACCCTAATATTTCTCTTATTTGTTATTGATTTTTAGGATTTGGAGAAATCTAGTGTCTCTGTTAAAAATCTGGATGAACTCTGTAAAGATCTAGACAATGTAAGTTAATTATTTTGAAAATATAGTGTTACTTTAACAGCAATTTGTTGCGTTTGGAGAAGGTATTAACTGAGCATTGATACATCTTGCACAAGTTCCTGCTATGACAAAAGAATAGGGAATTGTTGGGTTGGATTCAAGTGGAAGATGCTTATAACTTTACTTTGATCAAAATATAAATGGCAAACAAATGGCCCAAAATTGTTTTACTTTCAAGTTGTTTTGTCAGCAAAATAATGTTGGAAACTTTTGATCTGTCAAGTAATATGTGTACTGGGTTCTATAATAAAAGCAGCTAAAATTTTCGCAAGATAAATGCATCAGATGTTTCTTGGATTTATTGTGGACAATAAATAACTTAGTTGATACATATAATTGTGCAATGAGCCCAGATTTTGATGCATTCTTGTAATTAATATTTATATGAAAATCACATGTCATTCCAACTGTGTGTTGTCCAACTATCTAACTACTCAATCATTAATATATGCATTATTAAAATAGAACCTGTCAGGTGACATTTATTGCGAGATGGGGCCATGCGTCTGTTTATTTCATTTAGCAAGTCAAAAAATGCTGTACAGAGATAAGTAATACAGTTGTGGACCAGCAGATTGTCAGCCTAGCATTGCTGTTCTAGTGAATGTTTCATTGAAATGATCTTTGTTTTTTATTAGGCAAATGAAAGAGAAAAGGAAATAAGGAAAGAAAACCAGAATTTATGTGAAATAATGAAAGAGCGAAATGCTACTATTGATAAACATCTTGCTACCATAGAAACATTGAAAGATGAAATTGAGAAGTTGGAGAAACTTCAAAAAGATGTTAAAATGTATGAAGACAACAAAGATGTGATCGAAAAATTGCAGGTAAGTTTCTTTTATTTAGAAGGTAAGGGAATACTTTCTAAATGCACCGCTACAGACCACCTGGAGGTTTTTTTTATTTTTGGTGAATAACTGACAATAGTTTGGTAGAATGCATGCATTTGGATTGTATATATTCATGCAAATGCATTGTGGGGAATTAGTCTTATGCGAACTACATTGGCATTGGCCAAACTCAGAAACCCATTGAAATGAATTGGTGATTTTGCAGGGTGAATCAACTAGTCAGAAGACTAAAATTGAAGAATTGGAGAAAAGTTTGGAAGAGAAAGAAACTAAAGTGAAGAGTAAAACTGTTACCATAAGAAAACTGATGAATAAGATTGAAGAACTGAGTAAAACATGTGATAATCATTGTAATGCATTAGACATTGCTCATACTGGTAAGTGGTAGATAACCCAGCAATCTGTCTATTCAACTCAGTAATGTGTCAGCCATAAAACAGTTTTCTGATTTTCCAGTTTAGCTTATTATCTGCTGCAAAATCAATTATTTTCGCTGATATTTAATTTACCCATTTTGATATTTTATGCTTATTCACTGGGTTTTCAGTTCACAAATTTGCCAGGGAAACAACGAGTTCTATGTTCAAGTCGATTTCATTTAGCGGATTATATTTATCACAGTGTAAATAGTGAAATTAAAATAATTAATGTATTTATTTTATATAAACTGTTTGCCACATTACCTTATTTTTATTCAGATGTTACAAAGAATGAGAAATTGATAGAATCTCTGAAAATAGCTATGGAAGAACAGGAATCTACAATGGATCAGCAGGATACTGTCTTGAATGAAAAGGAAAAGCAATTTTCAAAATTAGCTGTTGGTAAGTATACCTCTTTAAACCAAACCCAGTATACTAGGTAAATGAAAACCTGTCTAAATTGAACCCAGTGTAAACTGAACTTTATGTGAATTAGAGACATATCTAAACTGCACCTGTTGATTTTCATCCCAAAGAATTTCTTTATCATGTGATCTTTGTAAACTTTTCCTATCATTTATTTTGTTTTATTAGATTTTGATGAACTGCAGGACAAGTATTCCAGTCTTTTCAAATCATCCAGTGAACAGAAACGCTCCATGAGGAAAATTGAAATTGAAGTTGAGAAACTTAAAACAGAGAATGAGAAACTGAAAAGTAGTGCTGAAGACATGGTGCAGGCAAAGGGAGAGGAGTTGAAAAAATGGCGAGAGGAAAGAGACGACTTGGTAAGCGCTTTAGAGAAGGAAATGAAGTTACTTTTACAGAAAGATAAAAAAAGTCAGGAGTTGTTAGAAGAAAAGGAGGCCTACATTAAAGAGCTTGTTGCTCAGTTAGAGAAAGAATCAGCTGGAAAGTTGACTGATGATGAGTCTGAAACGATTGAGGAGTTGGAGTCCCAGCTACAAACACAAAAGGAGAAGATAGGCTCACAAGAGCAACTCATATCAGAGCTGTTGGAGAAGACCTCTGCAAATGATGGAAGATCAACACGTGGACGGTCAAAACGAGGACGTACTGCGACAGCTAGTGTGACCACTGATGATGAACTGGCCAAAGAGATAGATGACCTCAGAAAACAGGTGATTTGGGATTTCCGTTACCTTGGGTGGTTGTGGGGGGGGGGGTATTAGTTGATTCAGTATTATACTGTTCATTGGGGGCATTTTCTTGAATTATTTGAGGGTGACTGATCGATATGAATATGTATACTGTGTAAATCTTTTAATTTTTGTGATTTCAGGATTGTGCAGCACTCATAAAAACAAAATTTCTTGAAAGTTGCTATATTGTAGGTCCCAAGATAAATTGTTGCGACTAAAAATTTTAGTGATTTATACTGACTCACGAAAATGTGTCCAGCACAAAATTGAAGCGGTTTACAGTGCATATAATATTTGTTTCCACAATACCTATAGCGTACCCCAGACCA